CCACTTTAAGCCAGGTTAGTTGCCATCTTTAAAAAGTTTTTTGTCTAAGGGGCGCCTGGGTGGCTCACAGAGTTAAAGCCTCTGCCTTCGGCTCAGGTCATGATCTCAGGGTCCTGGGATCGAGCCCCGCATCGGGCTCTCTGCTAAGCAGGGAGCTTGCTTCCTCCTCTCTCTCTGCCTGCCTCTCTGCCTGCTTGTGTCAAATAAATAAAAATCTTTAAAAAAAAAAGTTTTTTGTCTAAAATAATATTTAATTGGTATCTAATTTTTTAAAATTTATATTTCTTTGGCTATTTACATGTTTTCATCCATAAATGTCCCTTCATTCTTGGCCTTCTTTTTTGATTGGGAGTATTTATGGCTTTCAAAGTTGATTTGTGGGAACTTGTCATAGAGTTAGGATATTGACCTGCCATGTTCACCACAATTATTATTCTTGATTAGTCATTTACATTTTTGGTAACTTTCTTTCATACTTCTAGAATATTTCATGTCACTTACATAAATATTTTCCTTAATGATTTTCACCTTTGGCATTATGCTTAAAAAGGGCTTTCCAACTCAAGATTTTGTATTTCCCGATTCTTTTATTTCTTTCAGTCTGCCTTCTCCTACTTATCTCTTTAGAATATATGTACAGTTGTGTACATGTATGGATGCTATGTGGTATGGAGTAGATCCAACTATACCATCGAAATAATTAAACAGTAAGTCCAGCAACATTAATCAGGTGCATAGAATCTCATTGCATAGATGTGTCATAATTTATTTGATCCATCTGGGGTTGGACATTTTTGAGAAGTTGGAAAATTATGCCCACTTTTTTTCTCAATATAAAAATTAGGCACAGATCCTCCTTATAAATTCTCCAGGTTCAGTATCATATCTGGATGTGTCATTTGACTCTATGAGGGATTTCATTTTGGAGCAGTTTTGGTGATGACACGATGTGGCTCTGGGGGTAGGTGACTAAAACGGAGTGTAAAGGTCACGAGAAAGGAGGAGTCCTTTGTTACTCACAGCTCACTCCTTTCTCCCATGTCTGCCCACACTGCGGTTGGCTCTGAGGCTCTGCCTGGAAAAACGTCTCCCTCCTCTGTGGGCTTTGAGGTGGAACTTTGGCCCTGCTCTGTCCCATCTGCTTTCTGTTTTCAGAAATCACAAAAATCTCTGGTTTCTGTCTCTCCTGTTTTGAGTATCAAGATGGATTTACTTCTTTTTGTAAATCTTTACTGTAATTTTAATGGAGTTTGAAAATAACTGCTCCTTCTTTTTTAAGCAAAACTACAACACAGAATTAGATAACTTAATTCTGCCTATAGACTCCTCTCTGTTGATAACAACAGGCCACCCTACCACTCTCTCTGATGTTAGGGTATTGCAAATTCTGCCAATGCTACAAGAAAAAAATGGCCCTTTGAGAGCCTAATAAGGCACTGGAACACTAGTATTGTTTGCCACACATGAAAAAAAAAAACAAAACAACCCCACAATTCTGAGTTTTAGCCTTACATTATTCCCAAACAACTGACATGAAGATTCAAGCATAGATACACAGATCCCTGGAACCACACTTGGCCACATCTGTCTCAACAAATATATATCCAGATACATGAGCACAAAAACATAATAGACATAATTGCACTTACATACTTACTTATATATATTTCACACTGATTAAATAAGGAAAAAAAAGAAGGTAAGTGGAGAAGATTGGGTAAGTAAAACTGTAAGTCAAGAAAAAATAGGATTTATTTTGGAAATCATTTCATAGTATACACATATATCTGTAATAATTACATTGTGCACCTTACATAATGTTGTATGTTAATTATAGCTCAATAAAGCTAGACACACACATGTACACATACATATACATGTAAATAAGAGGAGGCTAATTAAAAAAAAATAAAGCATATGCAAGAGACCAAAGAGTAAAACAAGGGAATTTGTAAAGAATGGAGGAGATAGGTAATTCTCCTGGAGGGCTCAGATACTCCTGTTCCTAATGATTCTGAGTTTTTCCTTTACTCTCCTCTGTCATAAACTAGACTTAAAAATATTAACATCCACATTTATTCTTTTTTAAATAACAGCTTTACTGATATGTAATTCATATACCATAAAACCCACCCTTTTGACATGTAGAATGCAGTGGTTTTTAGAACAGAGTTGTGCACCATCACCACTATCTAATTCCAGCACCTCATCATCACCGCCATAAGAAACCTCATCCTCGTTGCATTCACTCCCCATTACCCTTCCTCCTTTGCCTCTGACATCCACAAGTCTATTTTCTATCTCTATGGATTTGTCTATGCTTGACATTTCACATACATGGGATCATATAACGTGTAGCCTTTGTGTCTGACTTCTTTCACTTAGCAGAATGTTTTCAAGGTTCATCCAAGTCATAGATGTGTATCAGGACTTCATTCCTTTTTATAACAAATATTCCACTGTATATATATCACATTTTTTTCATTTTTCATTTTTAAAAATTGTGATAAAAAACACACCACATGATATTGACTATCATAACCATTTTTAAATTTACAGCTCAGTGATATTAAGTACATACACACTGTCGTGCACCAGACCTCCAGAACTTTCCATCTTGCAAAACTGAAACTCTGTGCTTGCGAGACAACTCCCTATTTTCCCTTCCCCAGTCCCTGGTAACCATCATTTTACTTTGTTTCTATGAATCTGACTACTTTAGATACATTATATAAGTGGAATTATACACTACTTGTCATTTTGTGGCTGGTTTATTTCATTTAGCATAATGCCCTCAAGGTTCACCCAGACTGTAGCATGTGACAGAATTTCTTTCCTTTATAAGGCTGAATAGTATTCCTTCGTATGTATTTATGATATTTTGTTTCTCCATTCATCTGTCAATTATCACATTTTTAAAATCCATTCATCACTTGCTGGACATTTGCATTGTTTCCACTTTATGGTTCTTATGCATGCTGTTGGGAACACGCGTGTACAAGGGTTTGTAGGGCCATAGATTTTCAGTTGTCTTGGGTATATACCTGGGTGAGAAATTGCTGAGTCATATGATAATAAGACATTGAACTTTTTGAAGAATTGCCAGACTGTTTCCCAAAGTGGTTGTCTCATTTTACATTCCCACCAACAGTGTATAGTGTTCTAATTTTTCCATAACCCTGTCAACACTTGTTTTGGTTAGTCTTTTTGATTATAGCCATCCTACTGGGTGTGAAGTGGTATCTCATCTTGGTTTTGATTTCCATTTCCCTAATGGTAAATGATGTCTCACATTTATTCCTTAAATGGAAGAGGTGAGGGAATAGGCCCAAGAAAACTGGTCTAGTAGCTTTACTTTCTGTTACAGTGAGATCAGGCTGGCAGGGAATGCAGCGAGGGAGGGTCATTAGGATTACTCAGGTAAAATGTAATATTAATATTGTGGATAATAAGAGCACTAAAGTAATAACAGCTAACAGTGCCAGGCACTGTTCTAAGTGCTTTTACGTGTTATCTCATTTAACACTTGGAACACTCACACCTCATAGCTATTGGAACAACTCCTTCTTCAGAAGAATCCTGGGAGGATTCCTTCAAGGGAGATCATATCTTTTGATCTCTGGTTGTTCTGACATTGAAACTTTTACTCCCCATGACATTTTTCTTCCACGTGGCCATCCGTGTCCTCTGTTAGCTACTCAGAAAAGGCCTTCTCTGAGACTCCACTTCCCCTCTTAAATGACTGCTTGTTTCACCTAGATTCTCACCTTTAGTGTTTACCTCGGGGCCTGAGATTACTTCTTACCACTTAGGGACTAAGAACAGAATATACTTTTGGCTGACTGATCTACACTACATAGTTCTTTTAGTAGAGAGCCCGAGTCACTGAAAGTGAACCTGATCTCCCATCTTCCTTCTCCTTTCAATTATATGTGCCCACACAGGATTATGGGGCCATACCAATCTCATCCCCTCTGGTTCACTGCCTTGTTGGCAAAAGGTCAAAATGACAGTTGTGCAATGAAGCCAATGAGAAGGGCTGAAATGACTGGGGTGGTCTGGTAGGAAGTGTTCTGCTTTGAGAAGTATAGTCAATCTGTCTGGTGGTAAGGCTGAAAACCAGTGAACTAAATTTAATATTTAGTTTCAGATGTTACTGATAACATCCAAGTTTTCAAACACTAATAATCTTTGGGTTATTTTGTTCACCCGACTGACTATAACCTTAGTCATGTCACTCAAATTTTTCCCTTAAGTTATCCAGCTTTCATTTGGTTTTGCTGGCCCATAATCAACAGACAAGTTGCCTCTCTTGAGTGGAGAACATTTATTGAGACTGAGCACATGCACAATTTGTGGGCAATTGAAGGAACTAATTAAACTCTGAAGTTATCAGCAGAAGTTATCTAATAATTGTATAATTATTAGAAATGAACTTTAGGCATAAAAGAAGTAGGATTGTGCTTGACCATTTAAACAGAAACTTAATTCATTGTGATGCAACCACATAATCACACCAAGTCACCAGTGTAAAGAATCAAATCTGGTTTAATATTCCAACAGAAATTAAACAAAAGGTTCAGCTTACAAAAATAGTATTAGATGACTATGTCAGTTATGATTGCTGGGCAGATACTCTCATACCAGACAGACCATGTTAAGGCTTTTGCTTTTAAATACCAGTTCCACTGGTTACACAGTCCATATAATGTCGATACTCTTCAGGGGATAAAGGTAATGAGGAAGTGTGATTCTGCCTTTCCCACAGGTACTATGCACACAGGTGTGTACATAGTAGCATAATACATTTGAATTTTTCTCTAGGTTAAAAATCAGAGGCGAGCTATCCCTAGGATTAGATTAAATCCCATCTATTAATGGCAGAATATAACAGGCAGGGTTAAAGAGGAAAACAGTAAAAATATGTTGGAGGTATTAAAAGATAAGAAAAAAGATAAGAAAAAAGAAAAAAGAAAAAAGATAAGAAAAAAAGATAAAAGAGGGGGAAAAAGGGCTATTAAAAATTATTTTCCACATATTTTCTGATAGAAAATTTTATAAACAGCTTGGAGATATGATAGATTTGTATGCTTTATGAGAACTATGTAGAAATTGGTCATATTATTTTCTTGATCCTCCTTGAGATTTGTAAACTGACTATTGTGCAGTGCTTTGGAGGAATGAGTCTGAAATACCAATGCATGGATAAGATTAACATGTATATATTTTGTATGTTTAGCCAGAGGTATCTGTAACTATCATGTGAATTTCTGAAGTAGATACTCTATAGATCTTTACTTAAAAATTAAGAACATATCTAGGCAGAGTCACTACCAATGACCATTCAAAAATCATTTTTCAGAGTGAGAGACAGAACATAGTGTTGATACTGAGGGTTGTAAACAATGCTGAGGAGAAATTCATTCTTTGTAGGTTTCACTTTTGTCTCTGTTTTCTATCATTTCCTGTACCTGAAGAGAATGAAAAAGAATTTTTTTCCACTTGCAATTTTGGTCAACTTGGAATTACCATATCTTGTGGGGTTAAAATATATAGACATTTAAAATACAAAAGTCCTTGTAGTGACCTAGTACAAATAATTCAGACTGGTAAGTCCAGTATACCCGTTGTAATTTCAGAGGAACCATTAAAATATATATATATTTTAAAGATTTGTTTATTTATTTGAGAGACAGAGAGAGCAGAGTTGGGGAGAGGTAGAAGGAGAGAAAGTGTCAAGCAGACTGCACTGAGTGCAGAGTCCCACACAGGGCTCCATCTCGCAACCCTGAGGTCATGACCTGAGCCAAAACCAAGAGTCAGATGTTTAACTGACTATGCCACCCAGGTACCCCCACTAAAAAATACTAAAAGTAATTATTAGAGCAGTGACTCTATTCTGTGTGATACTGTAATTACACATACATATCATATACATTTTTCAAAACCTATAGAATTCACAACACAGAATTCTAACGTAAACCATGGACTTTAGTTAATGATAATATATCAATATTGGCTCATCACTGCTAAGATATGTACCACACCAATTCAAGGTGTCAATAACAGGGGAACCTAGGGGTGGGAAATGGGGAAAGGAGAAGGAAGTAAATGAGAACTCACTGTACTTTCTGCTTAGTTGTTTTGTAAACCTAAAAACTACTCTAAAAATATAAGGTCTATCAATTTTTTGAAATCACCCTAATGGGAAACCAACAAAAAAAATTCAGAGCATATAACTTCTGAACTAATAGAAAACAGAGTGATAAAAGAAGAAAAAAGTAGAGGAAAATAAACAGAACAGGTAGAACAAATAGCATATAGTTGGACAATAGATGTAAACCCAAATATATCTTTAATAACGTCAAGTATAAATGGGTTAAAATTAAAAGCATGTCAGATTTGAATAATATAAAAAATTTCATGCTACTTATTAGAAAGCCATCTAAAACTTAATGACAGAGTAAAGTTAAAAGTAATAAGCATATTATATCATTTAAAATTGACTAAAATAAATCTGATATAGCTATTATAATACTAAATAGTCATTAGAGTTCATGATGTGCCTCTTAATGATAAAAAGTTCAAGTTACCAGAAAAATATAAGAATCCTAATTCATACATGCCTAATAACATAACTGTAACTACACACACACAGCATAAATTAATAGATCTAAAGTAGACAAGCAAATTCACAATCATACTATAAGACTTGAACAACATATTTTGCAAACTTGATCTAATGAATGTATTTAGAACACTTGATCTAATGGGTGTATTCTAATAATTGCAGAATAAATTTTTTCAACCCCAATTAATTCACTCACAGTAAATCATATGTTGCATCATAAAGCAAGTCAACACATTTCAAATATTTGAAATCTTGTTTTATGAGTAAAGTGCAATTGACTCAGAAATCATTAACCAAAGGGCAATTATAAAATCCAGTATTTGGTAATTTATATAAATAATGTCCCCAAACCCATGAGTTGAAGAAGAAACATAATGAAAATTAGAAACTATTTTGAACTAAATAAGTGAAAATACCACATAGTTAGATTTATGTGATAAAACCTTAAATGTGTGTGTTTTATACAAAAGTAAGAACTGCTTTCTATATGCAAGAATAAGCACTTACAAAACAAATACTGCAAATAACACCTGTATACTATGAACAAGAATCAACTGTTGTGATATACCACATTCATAAAATGAAGAATAAAAATCACATGATTGTCTTAATAGACCAAAAAAATTGATGAAATTTAGCACCTTCTCATGATAAAAACTCTCAAAAAAGAAAGAATAGAAGGAAGTTACCTCAACATAAGAAAGGGCATTTATGAAAAGCCTGCAGCTAACATCATACTCAGTGGTGAAAACCTGAAAACTCTTCCTCTAAGTTCAGGAACAAGACAAAAATACCCACTCTTGCCACTTGAACATAGTACTAGAAGTTCTAGCCAGAGCAATTAGGCAAGGAAAAGAAATAAAAGATATCCAAACCAAGAAGGAAGAAGTAAAATAATTTTTTGTATTTAAAAATGGATTGTATTTTCAGGTTTTTTGTAAGTACCATAATTTTGGATCATAGTCTGAATATTGTGAATAGTATGTGATGTAGACTGAATTCAGTCATATTCCTCTGGTGAACGTTGAAGTAGAAAAAAAACCTCTAAAATTCTTATAGAACCACAAAAGACCTTGAATAGCCAAATAAAGCTGGAAAAAGCAAAACAAAGAGGCATCACACTTCTTTATTCCATATATTACAAGGCTATAGTAATAAAAACAATAAAAACAACAATATGGTACCAATATAAAGACAGATATACAAACCAAAAGAACAGAATAGAGAGCCCAGAAATAAATCTATACATTCATAGTCAACTGATCTTCAATAGAGTGCCAAAGATACACAGAGGGAAAGGAAACTCTTTTCAACACGTGGTACTGGGAAAACTGTTTACACACAAAAGAATGAAATTGGACCCTTAAAAAATAATCAGAATGGATTAAATACTTAAATATAAGACCTGAAACTGTAAAATTCCTAGAAAATAATGTAGAGGGAAAGCTTCATAGCATTGGTCTTGGCAATTATTTCATGGATATGACACCCAAAATACATGCAACAAAACTAAATAAGTAGGACTCCACCAAACTAAAAATCTTCCATATAGCAACAGAAACAATCAAGAGAGTCAACAGGCCACCTACAGAATGGGAGAAAATATTTGCAAACCACATATTTGATAAGGGGTTAATCTCCAAAATACATATTGTAACACATACAACTCAATAGTAAACAAACAAACAAACTAATAACCTAATTTAAAAATGGACTAAGGACTTGAATAGACATTTCTTCAAAGAAGACATACAAGTGACCAACAGGTATATGAAAAAATGTTCAATGTCACTAATCATGAGGGAAATGCAAATCAAAACCACCAAAAGACATCATCTCACACCAGTTAGGGTAACTATTACCAAAACAAAAAGACATTAATTTGTAGGCAAGGCTGTGGAGAAATTGGAACCTTTGCCCACTATTGGTGGGAATGCAAACATAGTGTAGCCACTATGGAAAACAGTATGGAGAATCCTCAAAAAAAAAAAAAAATAGAACTTCATATGATCCAGCAATCCAACTTCTGGGATTGCTCTATTTATCCAAAAGAATTGAAATCAGGATCTTGAAGAGATATGTTCATTGCAGCACTATTCATAGTAGCCATGATGTGGAAACAATCTAAATGTCAATCAACAGATAAATGGATAAAGATCATGTGGTATATACACATAATGAAATACTATTCAGTCTCAAAAAGAACAAAGTTTTGCAATATGTGACAATATGGATGAATAAAGACATTATGCGAAGTAAAATAAACCAGTCACAGAAAGACAAATACTGTATCCCCTTACATGATGTATAAAGTGCAAATTCATAGAATCAAGGAATGGAATCATGGTTGCCAATGGTTAGGGAGAGGGGGAAGTGGGGAGATACTAATTCATGGGCAGAAAGTCTCAGTTAAGCAAGATGAATAAGCTATAGAGATCTACTATACAACATTGTACCTATAATCAATAATAATGTAAGGTACACTTAATAATTTGTCAAAAAGGTAGATCTCATGTTAAACGTTCTTACCACAATAAAATGTTAAAAACAAATGGAAAAGACAATCAACAGATGCTAACGCAAGATGATGCAATTTGAGATTATCAGATAGGCATTTTAAAGCAGTTATTATAACTATGTCAAGGAAAGTGAAAGTCAAGAAAAATATACTGGAAATCAAAGAAAATATAAACTATCCCAGAAGATAAGTAGAAAATAAAGAAAAGGACCAAACAGAAATTTTAGAACTGAAAATTAAAAAAAAAAAATCACTGGATGGGCTTAATAGAGAATAAAGATGACAGAAGAAAGAGTCAGTGAGCTTGAAAATAGAGCCAAGGAGTTATTTGACCTGGAGAGCAAGAAAATTTGAAAGAAATGAAGAGAACTTTAGGGCATCTGTGGGATAATATCGATATCAAGGTCTAATATAAGGTTAATTTGAGTATCAAAAAGAAAAGAGGGAGAAAGAATGGGGCAGAAAAATATCTGAAGAAACTGGCAGACAACTTCCAAAATTTGATGAAAGACATAAATTTATAAGATTTAAGTGGCTCGGCTAACTCCCCAAATCATAAATTCCAATGAACACCATGGTAAAACCTCTGGAAACTAAAGAAAATGAGAATATTATGAAGGCAGAAAAAAATGGCCCATTATGTAGAAGGGAACAACAATTTGGATGGCTGTGGATTTCTCATCCAAAATTATGAAGGCCAGGAATGAGTAAAATTACTTTTTTAAGAGCTGGACAAGTCAATTCAGAATTCTATAGCCAGCAAAAATGTTCTACAAGAAGGAATGTGTCAGAGATTATCAGGTGAAAGAAAACGAAGAGTCTTCTTTGCCATCAGTGCTGCAGTACAAAAAATGCTGGAAGGGGGCGCCTGGGTGACTCAGTGGGTTAAAGCCTCTGCCTTCGGCTCAGGTCATGATCCCAGGGTCCTGGAATCCAGTCCTGTATCAGGCTGTCTGCTCAGCAGGGAGCCTGCTTCCCTTCATCTCTCTCTGCCTGCCTCTCTGCCTACTTGCGATCTCTGTCTGCAAATAAATAAATAAAATCTTTTAAAAAAATGCTGGAAGAAGTTTTTCATGTTGAAAGGAAATAACTTCAGAGAGAAATACAAAAATTCACAAAGGAAGTAAGAACATTAGAAACAGAAACTATGTAGATAAATGTAAAAGATGACTTTTGTTTTCTCTTAAGTTCCTTAAAATACAGATGATTATTTAAAGCCAAAATTATTGTCTTGTGGGAGTTTTCACTTATGTGGAAAGTGATGGATATGACAAGTTTAACATAAAAGAATAGATGGGACTAAAGGACTCTGTATGATAATAAAGTTTCCTTTTCATGTGCAGCAATACAAATATTAATTGTATACTGTGGAAGGTTAGCAATACATATTGCAATCCCTAGAGCAATCACTAAAAATAATAAGAGGTATAGCTAAAAACCAATATACAAATTAAAGTAGAATACTGAAATTACTCAAATAATCTAAGAGAAAGTGATGACAGAGGAAGAGAAGAATGAAAAAGACAAAAAGAAAAATAATAAAATGAGAGCTCTAAATTCAACCATATTGATAATTAGGTTAAATGCTAATGGTCTAAACCAGGGATTAGCAAACTTCTTCTGAAAAGAGCTGGATACTACATATTTTAGGCATTGCAGAACACAAACTATTTGTTGATGCTATGGAATCTCCCTCCCCCTTTCCTTTATTGAACTTATTTCTCTTCTTCTTCCTCTCTCCTTCCTTCTTCTCCTTCTTCCTCTCTCTCCTCTTTCTTCTTCTCCTCCTCCTCCTTCCTCTTCAACCACTTTAAAATGACAAATTCTTTCTAACCTTGTGGGCCATTTAAAACTAGGTGGTCCATAGTTTGCCTACCCTTGTTCTAAATGGCTCAATTAAAAAGCAGAGAATATCAGAAAGGATAATAAAGACCCAACTATGTAGTACCTACAAGAGACACAATTCAAATATAAAGCATAGATAGGTGAAAATAAATGGATGAAAAAAATATACCAAGTGAACTATAAGATATGAAGGCTGGACTGGATATATTAATATCAGAGAAAACAGACTTCAAGGCAAAGAATTTTACCAAGGAGAAAGCTAGACATTTCATAATGATTAAAGAGTCAATTAATCAGAAAGACATAATAATCACAAATGTGCATGTACCTTGCTGTTTTCAGAAGATATCCTGGCATTAATGTAGGGAAAAAGAACCCAAGAGGAACTCAGTAGATCCTTGAGTTGAGAAGACAAAGCTGAGATCCTGGGGAAACCAAGACAGTTATAGTACATAGGGCAGAGTGCCAGAGATGAGAGAATGGTACAGAAAGCACTCTGGAAAGCTGCAGAAAGTCCCCTTCAAGTTATCCTCTGAATATTGATCAGTGTATGTGTGTGAGAAAACTAGCAGAGGCCTCGGCAAATTGATCTACAGGAATAGTGCCTATTACCACCAGTCAAACTGGAAAACATCATGATTCATGGGGCATTGGGTAGAATACTCAAAAGGGTCTTGCCTTAGTAGTGGGAAATAGCCCTAGACTGAAAACTCTTCTGCTCCTCTAAAAAATCTTAAAAGCAAAATCTGAAAAGATCAAGCTGTTTTCAAGTAAATTAGCAGGGCCCCAAAATAAAGTCCAAGAATATTTACAAGAATACAAAAAATTCTACCACCCATCCAAGGCAAAATTCATAATATCTTACACCAATCAAAAATTGCCAGGTATATACCTACAATGAATACAATGTTATGTGTCAATTACAGCTCAATAAAAAAATTACCAGGCATATAAAGAAGCAGGAAAATTAAAACCGTTATTATAACTGTATTCTCTATGTGCAAAAAGTGAAGTAGAGATATTATTACTCTAGAAAAGACACAAACTAAACTCCTAGGGATGAAACTACAGCATTATAATGTATGCAGTGAGAAACATACTTTATTATTAATGGGAATTTAGACACTGCAGAAAACAAGATTAGTAAACTTGAAGACATAGTGATAGAAAGTATCCAAAATGATATATAGAGAGGGAAGAAATTTAATAGAGAATCAAGTGAGCTGTGAGACAACTTCAAAGGGCCCATTATATGTGTAACTGAGTTCCAAGAGGAGGAAGCTGAGACAGAAAAATGTCTGAAGAAACATTTGGCTGACAACTTTCCAAATATGATGAAGACCATGAGCCCACAGTTCCTAGAAGTTCAACGCACCACATAAGAAACATGAAGAAAAGCAGAGTAATGCCACTTTATGTGAGAGTATAAACTGATCAAAGTATTTTGGAAAATTTTGGGGCAGCCATCTTTTAAAGCTGAACTTTGGTCAATACCCTACAACTTAGCAATTCTCTTTCTAGGTATGAACCCAATAGAAATGCATGTACATATGCACCAAGAGGTAAGTACAAATGTTCACTGCTGCATTATTCAGAACAACCCAAAGTCTAACTCAGAATAGAGGATACAGAAATGAAAAGGAATGAATTTCATAAACATACCATTGCTCAAAAGAAGCCAGCCCTCAAATAGTACATAATATTTGATTTCATTTATATAAAAATCTAAAAAAAAAGCCAAACTAATCTAGAAGTCCGAATAGTGGTTATTTTGTGGAAGAGAAAGGGTAGTGATTGGAAATAGGCACCATATGGGATTTGAGGAACTGGTAACATTCTATCTCTTGAAGTGGTCGGTAGTTTCATGGGTTTACTAAATTAGTGGTAATTTGTCAAGTTGTACAGTTTTGACTTAATGTAATTTCCTGTATGTATGCTTGAAAAGTTTTGAAAATAAAAATAGACATATTTTACTACATTACCAGAATAAGGGAGAAAAAATCATGCAATCATCTCAATAGATACAGAAAAATAATCTGACAAAGTTAATGATTCATGATGAACAACTCTCAGAAAACAGATTAAGACAACAACTTCCTTAATATGGTTAATAGTATCTATAGAACACGCCAAACATCATACTTAACGGTTAAATAGGGAAAACTTTTTTTTTTTTTTAAAGATTAAGAGCAAGCAAAGTAAACCACTGTAGCTACTTCTATTCAATATTAATTCTACTGGAGATTCCCTAACTAGTGTAGTGTATTAGTCAGTGTCCCAACAGAAAATAGAGGGCACATTCAAAATAGAATTCAATAAAGGTTCATTCAGAAAGGGTTCATTCAAAAGAATTAGGCATAGGGGAGTCACAGAAGATAACACAATAATCCAAAGCCAGTAAAAGTGGAGATAACCTCTTAACCTTGAAGGTCAAGAGGAATTCAGAAGCAGAGACTCATGTAAAAAGTTGTCTTGAGAGGAGCAGAGACCTCCAGACAACTCAAGATAGGTCATAAGGGAAAAGACCAGGGAAATAAACCTGATCTCACTCTCTTTCCTCCTCCCAATCATCCTCCAGAGTTTCCCATTGGTTAACCCATCCAGAAGTCAGAAGGAATGAAAGCCTGTTGATCTAGTCTATATGGATTAGCTACTTTGTAGGGTAGAAAAGAAAAAAAGGTGGATCTGAAGAGGCAAAGAGAAATGCAATAAGACAAGTGGGAAAAAAAAGGATAAGGATCAGAAAAATCAAATAAAACTCACTATTTGCAAATGATATGATTATATATGTAGAAATACCCACACTATCTACAAATATGTGTTTAGAATTAATAAGTTGAATTCAATAAGGTTGCTGGATATAATATCAGCAAAAAAATTGCTGTATTTCTATATGCCAGCATATAGAACCTGAAATTTCAAAAATTTCTATTTACAAAGGCATCAAAATTGTAAAATACCTATGAATAAGTCTATCAAAAATATGTAAAATATTCGTGCAAATAACTGTACTGAGAGAAATTGAAGACCTAAGTAAATGCGGAGGATAAAGGATTAGAAATACTCATTGTTTCAAGCCATCCCTTCTTCCCAAACTGATCTACAGATTCAGCACAGTCCTAGTAAAAATCTCATCAGTGTGTGTTTCTAATTGTGTGTGTATGTGTTTGTGACTTGATAAATAACTCCAAATATTGATATGGGAATGCACAGGCCTAAGAATAAACAAGATATTTTTAAAGAGAAGTAAGATATGATGAATTGTTCTGATTGATTTTAAGACTTAATTTTACGGTATACTAATTAAGACAGTCTTGTATGGAGCAAGGATAAACAAATATACCATCAAAATTAACTAAAAAGCAGTATGGGAGGTACGGTCCTTTTACTAAAGGTGCTTGGTTAATTGGATGTCTGGTTAGAAAAGAAAATGTAACTTGATCCCACCTCACACCCTACACAAAGTCAATTCTGAAGTGACTGGATACCAATGTCAAAGGCAAAATAAAGTAAATTTAACCCCCTGCCAAAAAAAAAAAAAAATCTACAACTCTTTATAATATAAGGGGCTATGTCAGGAGTTTGGACTAAGAAGACTTCCAAAAGAGGACACCAGAGGTACTAACCATGAATTAAAAAGGTTGTAAATGTAACTGTATCAAAATTAAGAATTTCTTCACAGACCTGTACCCCTGGGGATAAACATACATTATATGTTTATAAAAAAATTTAAAAATTAATAAAAAAATTAAGAATTTCTGTTCATCAAAAGATACCTTCTTTTGAAGGGAAGGCAGAGAGCAGGAAAAGAAACCTGCAAGAAACTCAACAAAGGGCTCATACCCTTCTAGAAATCGTATAAAACTGTGACAAGTGCGTAAGAAAAAGACAAACAATAGAAAAAGAAGTACTTCCAAATGGCCAATAAACAAGTTAAAAGGTATGCAGCTGCCTTAGTCATCAGGAAAAAGCAGATGGATGCTGCAGATGGACGCTACAGATGGACGCTGCAGATGTTATTATTTACCCATGAATATGGCTAATGCTAAAAAGACATTAGCGTTCAACATTTTGTAAGTGCTCACTTCATGATAACCCATGGAGTTGGACATGTTTTGTTTTGGGTGCATGTATGTGTGCTGCATTTTACAACAAACAGAATTAAAAGCTTGTTCTCTTTCTCCTATTCCATACCTGGCACAGCATAAAACTGAGGGGGTCCTCTGGCTTTTCATAGACTAAGTTCTCAGTGATCTGCTGAGAGAGAGCATGAGGCATCACATTATGGTTCTGAGCTGAAGTTAAGTGGTCAGGTTCTAGCTGAAGCTACATTTTGCACTAACCCAACACCATAGTCTTTTAAAGAAATTTATGTATCTCAAGGGGCGCCTGGGTGGCTCAGTGGTTTAAGGCCTTTGCCTTTGGCTCAGGTCATGATCCCAGGGTCCTGGGATCGAGCCCCACATCAGGCTCTCTGCTCATCAGGGAACCTGCTTCCTCCTCTCTCTCTGCCTGCCTCTCTGCCTACTTGTGATCTCTGTCTGTCAAATAAATAAATAAAATCTTAAAAAAACAATTTATGTATCTCTACAAAGTGACAAATTACTTTCTGACTACTGATAAAACAAGGCAAATTAAAGTAAAATATAGAAGAATAAAAATTTCATAATAAATAGCAATGGATATTTTTCTAGCTTCCAAGATCAAACAAGTAGTGAGAAAGTTTTGGACAAAGTTTTTGTTTTGAGAATTGTGATTTGCTAGCCTGAGAAATAAATGAATTAATCACTTTATCTTTATTCAAAAGAAAAGTCTTTTGAGTAAATTAAAAACATGATATGTCTTTACATAGAAACTTCCTCGTGAGGTATTTGATTTTAAAAGGTGAAAAAGACGTTTAATGTTTATAATAATAAATGAGAAAGCATATACAAAACTTCAAAATTCACCTCCATACTTTGTTGTTGTTTAATAACCCAAAAAATTATAATAAAGCAAGCAGAAGTCTCATTTGCAGGGAATAACAGTTGGGCAAGTTTCAGGTATAAAATATTTAATATCCTTTTAATGCACCCATGCCAATTACATATTTCATATATGTTTCTATTGAGCACATACTTGGTAACTAATTTTTCATATAATAATGTTGTATTCTCAAGTACTGTTTTTCCTTGACAGATGAAGGAAATTATTTATAAAATGATTTGATTTCTACTTTCTTCAATTCATTAATAATTTGTAGTTCTCTCATTAAAGCCAGAAAACCCAGCCATTAGCACTCTCCCACAAAAGGATATTTTAAGAAAGTAAAGGCATAGAGCAGGGTTGATGGAGTAAAATCACTCTGTTTTATATGAGGAAACTAAGATTCACTGAAGTTAATTAATTTTCTCCAAATCACAAAGATGAGAATTGGCAAAGTTAGAATGGGGCTTTGGCTAACAGATTGCATAATCTGCGCTCTTACCTCTCTACCCTACTTACCTGAAACTTAAGCTTTCCCAGTTTAAATTTTTTTTTTCTCCCAGTTTGCACATTTTCATTTGAGGTAGGCCATTTTTATTTTACACCTTTCTAACCACAACGTTACTACATGTACACATTATGATATACATACTTGTGCCTTGGTGGGTAATAATATTAACATAAAAATAAATATTTGGAAAAACAAAAACAACCCACCAAATAACAAAAAATTATATAAATGTGATAATCTCTTCTAATTCTCTACTGACCAAGAAAATGTCACACTTTCAAGGAGGCTCCAGCCCCATATCCTGAGGTCAATGAAATTTGTAACTTCAAGAATTAAAAGCAACTTTCAACTACTTCTTTTTCTCCCTAAGGAATGCAGTTTTTAGGTAGTCCCAGATTGGTCATCTTGTGAAAGTATTATATTTGTGCCTGAAAAAGCTTTTTTCTTGCCTTTTCAATTGCCAATATTTTGTCTTTCCTTCCCAGTCTGACTCAAGCTTTAAGCCTTGGCCAACTTTTCCCCTATCAACTAACCTGCCTTATCTCTAATCCCTCTGAAGGGCTTCATACTACAGTAAGTAGCATTCTTTGTTTTTTTGTCTTTATTTCCCCAATTTTATTTATTTATTTATTTATTTATCTGAAAGAGAGAGAGCATGAGGTGGGGGAGGAGCAGAGGGAGAGGGAGAAGCAGACTCCTAGCTGAGCAAGGAGCCTGATGTGGGGCTTGATCCCAGGACCCCGAGATCCTGACTTGAGCCTAAGGTACACTACCTCCACTGACTGAGCCCCCCAGGTACCCTCATTCTTTGATATTTCTCATTTACTACTTTTGGTTAACACATTTCAGTGCACTTACTGACTTCTCAATGAGTTTATATCCTTTTTATAACAAAGACCCATTCTTGTATCTCTATGAGCCAGGTCCAAGTTTGTCTTTTACATTGTAATCACTGTAAAACTCACTCATAAAGAACAGGGTTGAGAGGTTTACCTTGAATATTTGCAGAATGTGGTGCTTCTCCATGTATCGTAGTGAAACTTGATAAGGATCTTCATATACAATAGGAGGGAACTGCCTCCTATAAGTTTGATTGTATCCAAAAGATTTCCTTCCTTCTTGGTGTTCTGGAACATCATCCTGAAATAGAAATATCCCCCCACCAGAGAGTCTTTAATAAACTGAAAAGACCCAGGAAGTTCTCTTGTTATTGTTATTATCAGTGGAATCTGATGTTGGAGGGACCTGAACACCAGGAGCTGGAGAAAAGACACATTCTGATGACAGACCTGACTGGTCCCCCTGGCAACATAATGCACCTCAAGTCCCGGGACGTACCTTACACATCTCCAATCTACTTCAAATACTTTTCCCTTCATAGGGATCTCCAACTGATTCCAAAAGCCTTTCCTTTGGAGGAATCCCAGAGAGGGGAAATGACTTAGTGCCCCAGAGCAGGCAGCAGAACGAGGTCTTGAAACCCAGGTCTCCTGAATCCTGGCTCATGATCCTTCCTGAATGCCTTCCTGTAGCAGCAGAACAACAAATCTATTTCCCACTCTATTTCCTGCCTTTCTGGGATCTCCTGCCCTTCCTGAATCAACTGCAGGTTTATTCCTCATCTTTGAGGAATAAGGTTTATTCCTCAAAGATGGAACAGGCAGGTTTATTCCTCATCTTTGATTCAACATGTACCCTCTCCCTGCCCCCATACCACCACAACAGGCCCTTGCCTTGGCCTTCAATCCCCCAGGTGGTTATCAAATGCCCCTTTAACCTACAGGCTTGGTTTCTACAGCTTCAGTTTTTTCTTGACTGATGATATAGTCCAACTTGGGTGAGATATAGGGGAATCTCTGGGAATAGACTTGGTCTTTTGCTTGCAAATCACTGGTGAATCTGGCACCAAACGAGCCAAAGGCTGGCAGATAGGTCTCACTTTCATTGTCAGTCTCAACTGAAACTGGGGAATTGTCACCGGTGGTTTCTTTGGTCTCAAATTCACAGGGTTCTATTCTGGGCTCAGCTTCTTTGTACGCCTTAATGTCACCAAATTGGGCAAATATTCTGTCATCGTACTGGCCAGGTGCTCCATAGTTAGCTAGGTAGTCCTTGTAGTAATTCTCTTCAGCCATTAAGTGTTCCATCTCGTCACCGTAGTCAGCATTGTCAACGGGAAGGTGATCGGCACTGCGGTCAGCTTGGTCAGCAGCTTCCTCATACACATCTTGATGAGTCTTTAGAGATGGTACGAGGTCAGCTTGGTTAGATGGTCTATGACCAGTCTTTTCAGAAGTTCTTCGTTCAGCCAGGCCAGACAACCTGCTGTCGATCTTTTCAGAAGTTCTTCGTTCGACCAGGCCGGACAACCTGCCGTCTATCTGTTCTAAAGTTCTGTTGTCAGACTGGCTGGGCATTCTGTGGCCAATCTGTTCAGAGGCTCGTTGTTCTGATGAGACAGACAATCTATGGTGACTCTGTTCATAAGCTCTTGGCTCAGTCTGGCTGGACATCCTGCGGTCAATCTGCCCGTAATCTCTGCTTTCAGCCTGGTAGGACCTCCTGCGTTCAGACTGCTCAGAAGTTCTTTGTTCACGTGGAAGAAACATCTGGCTGTCAGTTTCTTCCACCTGTACACGATTGGTTTGTCTAGATGTCCTCCTGTCTGTCTGTTCATACATTCTTTGGTTGTCCTGATCAGATGCACTACGCTGAGCAACATTTGCGTGGTCGGATGCCCTGAGATCCGCTTGATCGGATGCTTGGAGCCCGGTGGGTTCAGATCCTTTGTGGTCAGTCTGTCCCGACATTCTTTGGGCAGCCTGCTCAGCTGTTCTGGGATCAGTCTGGTCCTCTACGTTTTCTTCATCCTGGTTCTGCCGGTTGTCTTCCTGGCCATCTGTGTGGCTGTCATCTGGGGACTTGGCTGTGCTTTCAGGTGCCAAGGATTCTGCGGGAGCCTCTTCGGGAGGCTCTTCCATTTTCTGCCCTGGCTGGTCTAGGTTGCCAGACGCGGTGGGTGGGGCGGACCTGGTCTCCTAGGTGACCTTCACAGGGTGGGCGACGTTGCCGCCCACAGCTTTGTTCGGGCCTCTGTGCGCTAGCTCTTCTGGGTGCTCGGGCGCCACCTTGCCCGAGTTAGAACTGCCTCGGGCTCTGTGTGCCGCCAGGAGTGCCCAGTCCACGGACGCTCAGTGTGGACGCGAGAGCAGGGCGGGTGCTCTCGTCGTGAGAAGAGGTGATGACCTTACGCGGCGGTCGCTGCTGCCCAGCCACTAGTCTCCGGCCTCTGTGAATCGACGCCCCAGAACTGTACCCACCGCCTTTTCTTGTGGAAGCTCCCAGCGGGCGTGTGACCCGAAAACGTTCAGGTACCTCAACTCGAATCCCCACCGCAGTGATAGCCGAGGAGGCTGCGGCCGACCACAGGGGGGCAGCACACACGCTCGGCGCTCGCTGCTGCCATCCAATCAGATCCACGCTCCGGGCCGCCGACTCCCGCCGCCTCACGGTCCTGCGGGAGTGCTGGGTTCATGCCGGGCGCCGCGCCAGGGAATGCCCCTGCGAACTGCGCCGTCTGCTTTAGACTCTAACCGGTATTGTAGCGATGTGGCCAAATCCTTGGTTTTTTTTTTTTCTTTTATTTTTAAGAAACCATTTGAAAAATCCTGCGTGAACAAACTGTGCCCGTGCTGTTTTCAGTGGTAGCAGGAAGAGTTTAGTCCCCCTACCACTCACGTTAGCAAAGCCCGATGGATCCTTCCTCGCAGTAAGAGTGTAGAGAGGAGAGATTTGCTCTCTTCCCCTCCCTCACCACCACGGACCCCTGGGGGGTTCACTGCTGCGGGATCACCTCCTTCTCTGGATCTAGGGACAAGTGAGCAACTGTTTTCCTCCCCTTTGGGAAGCGCTGTCTTGGCTGCGAAAACTTGGGGCTGTGAAAGTCCCACGGTGTGTGTGTTGGACGGGGGAAGGGGGTTGTTTTGTTTTGTTTTGTTTGCTTGTTTGTTTTTTTGAATCAGACATACGTGGAGGTCTAAAGGGAAGAGAGGAGATCCAGTGAGAATGGGCTCTAAAATCACCCCATTTGATGGGCTTATAGCAGAAGGGAGGGTTAGGGTTAGGACCCAGGGTTCCGGAAAGAAAGGGAGTAAGAAAGGTGGGGGGAAGATAGGTGAAGGACTCTATAACAAGTGGGGAATTTGCACCTGATGGTGGTGGCCACTGTGGTCTGGGTTGTGAGATGTGGCCCTCCACGTAAAGTTTTCAAATAAACTTTAAGAATCCACTTCAGGCCAGCATGCCCCCTACTTTCGGGAGTGGGGCAGTACAGAGGTGGTGTCTGATGAGACATTTATTTATCTGGTTCTGCAAAGCCTGAAATCACTGAGAAAGGCGAACCACTGCTAGTATCATACCAGATATGCCTTTAGCATGGGCTTGATTCCATTCAGTAATTAGAGATAACACTTAAAATCCAAATGCAGATAGTTGTGATCAAGATATGAGAGGGAGGGTGGGTACCCTTGAAGCCATACTTAGAAGCAATTAGGAGAATCTAGGTTCACCGAAGTAAAATCATTTATGTAATAGTTCCTAGAACGTAGTAGGTGCTCAAGATGTGTTTGTTGAGTATAAGTGTATGAAGGATCCTTACTTATTTAAAAATGTGTGGAGGAAATAGACTGCACATTTCTGGTGAAATAGGCAATAGGCTATGATTTACAATTTCAAAGAGGCATTGATTTTATAGACTTGTTTTTCTATTTATAAATTGAATTTAATCACTGTAGAAAAGAAAAACAAACATAAAGAAAAAAAATTCCCCAAACACCCAAAGAAGAACATTTATTAACATTTTAACATATATCCTTCCAGAATTTCCCCACTCACGTCTGTACGTCTAATAGCTATAGTTATGCGTATATTTTACAAAATAGAATCAAGCCATGCAATTGTTCTATAAACTGCATTTTCATTTAGCACTGTGGTATAAATGTTCTTCCTTGTCAATAGATGTAATCTAAATTAAAGAACACTGGCTTTTGGAGTCAGACCAAGTTTGTTCTAATTCTCTATCTGTCACTCACTAGATTGTTGAGCTTGGGCAAATCTCATTATTTCTCTGAACCTCAATTTTCTCATCTTCAGGTGAAAATGGGAATAGTATAATAGCTCTCAGAGTTCTTGTGACAACCAAATGAGATAATACATGTAATTAGTTCATATGTGCTTCATAAAGAGTGGCTATTTTAGAATTTATACGTGATCTATTACATGAATTTACTTTGTTGCTTTTAGCAGTGTTGCACTGACCATCATTGTACAGAAATTTTACAAGCTTGTCATGTTGTTTTTTCCCCCTTAAGATGAATTTTTACTTGTGGAATTATTTGGGTAAGGAAATGTGCTCATTCTGGTCTTTGGAAAGTACTATATTTTAAAATGCCCTTCAGAAAGGTTGCCATTCAGTGGCTTCACAAGTAATTTATGAGAGAGCTATTTCCCTATACCAACACTATTCTGAATATATTTTTATTTTTGCCTGTCTGATAAGTGAAGGATAGTATCTTGTTGTAATTTGTATTCTTTTTATGTGTTTAACGGCTGTTTATTTTTGTATTTGGTAAATGTCCTTACCATACCCTTATCTTTCCTTATTGATTTGTGAGAGTTTCCTATATATTAAAAATTTTTAATTCTTCCTAAATATTAAATTTTTAATTCTTTGTTATATAATTGCAAAAACGTTTCCTAGTTTTTTTGCCATGTAGAAGTTTCTTTTTTTTTTTGTTTTTATGAAGTTAAATTCATTTTTCTCTTTCTAGTTTTTATCTTGAGGTCATGTTTACAAAGACCTTCCCCTTCTCTTAAGATGACATAAATGTTCCCCATCTATGTTTTCCTTTAGTACTTTTCAGTATGTGTGTACTTCCTTTTTCATTACATAGAGTTAAGTGCTCAACACTAAAATGTGAAGGTTGATGAATTTTTATGTATCTATCTACACATACAGCACCCAGATCAAGAGATAGACCGTTTCCAGTACTCTAGCAAGTTTCTCTGTGTCCCCACTCAGTGAATACCCTTCTCAAAGTTAAGTACTGTTCTGATCTTTGCTTCCATTGCTTAGTTTTTCTGGCTTTTGAACATCCAACAATATGACTCTTGTTCTGGCCTCTTATTCATCATTATGTCTGGGACACTCACCGTGTAGTAGTAAATATTATTTGTGATTGCTGAGCAGTATTCCATTGTATGATTATACCACAAACTATTGATCAGTTCTGATGTCGATTGACTTTAGATTGTTTACAGCTTGGAACTATGAAGTATTTTTTTGGACATGAGTGCTTCTCTCTCTGTAATATACCAGAGTATAGTGTTCCTGGGTCATAGGATAGACTCTATTTGGCTTTAGTAAATACTGCCAGAGAGTTTCCCAAAATGGTAGAAGCAATTTACACTCTCACTAGCAATACATAAAGGAGTTCAAGTTACTTTGCATGTTTGCCTTTTATTGTTGGCTCTTCGGGTTTGTTGGTTCTCATTGGAGTTTTCATTTGTATTTCTCTTATGACTAATGATGTTGAGTCCTTTTAGAGATGCTTATTGGCCATTTGGGTATTTTTTTTTAATAAGTGCCTGTTCACATCTTTTGCCCATTTTTATGTTGGATTGTTTGTCTTATTGATTTGTAGGACTTCTTTATGTAGCATGCTCATATGTATGTATTTGTAGGTATGTGTGTATTTTTTAAACACTTAAAGCTTTCCCTATTTTATTTTGGTAGGTGGTTTGTGATAGAAATCTAACCTAATATTATTTGCAAAATGTTATCTAGATATTCCCGTGCCTTTTTTTTTTAAACAAATTATTTCTCCATTGATTTTAAATACTAGCTTTTCCATATAACACCCTCTAGTACATACTTGAGTCTATTTCTGGGCATTTCACTCCTATTTTATCAAGAAAGAAATGACCTGTTTTGGTGTTTATCTCAGACTGTTTTTATTGTTGTAGTATACAGTACTGTACTATACATTTATATTTCATAGATCAAATTCCCTTTCATTTGTTTTCTGCAAATTTGTGACTACTTCCAAGTAACTTTGGTATAATTTTGTTCAGTTCCAATGATGACATCAACAAAAAACTTGTTGGAACTGTTTAAATTTAAATATTAATTTAAGGAAAACCTTCTAGGCAGAGGATGTGTGTGAGTCTGACTAGCTGATGTTGTTTCATTGATCTCTGTTGTGGACTGAATTGTGTTTCCCCCAAACTCATATGTTGAAGCCCTAACCCCTGCAAAGGCATCTGGGGGTAGGGCCTTTAAAGAGGTGATTAACCATACGCCTAGGGGTAGACATAGAGGTGGGGCCCTAATTTAATCTGACTGTTGACCTTATAAGAAGAAGAAAGGAAAGAAGAGAGGTGCTCACACAGAGAAAAGGCCATGTGAGGACACAGGTAGAAGGCTGCCATCTATAAGCCAAGGAGAGAGGTTTCAAGAGAAATCAAATGTGCTGCCATCTTGATCTTGAACTTCTAGTTTGTGAGAGATAAACTGAGAGAAAATAAATTTTTATTGTTCTAAATTATCCAGTCTGGGTATTTTCTTATGGAAGTCCTAGCAGACTAATACAGTTCCCTTTTTTTTTTTTTAAGATTTTATTTATTTATTTGACAGACAGAGATCTCAAGTAGGCAGAGAGGCAGGCAGAGAGAGAGAGGAGGAAGTAGGCTCCCCGCTGAGCAGAGAGCCCAATGCGGGGCTCGATCCCAGGACCCTGGGATCATGACCCGAGCAGTAGGCAGAGGCTTGAACCCACTGAGCCACCCAGACGCCCCTTCCATTAAGTTTTTATATATATATTTTTTAAACATTTGACGCTTAGTTGCTATTTTAACATTATTAGAGAAGAGAGAGGGATCTAATAGTTGAATATATTTCCAAATGAAGTAATGTTGGTTTTTTTTTTTAGGTGAAATTCACGTAAAATAAAATTAATTATTTCAAAGTATGCAATTCAGTAGCATCTAGTACATTCACAATGTTGTGCAACTACTTCTGTCAAGTCAGACGTTTCATCACTCCCAAAGAAAACCTCATACACATTAAGCAGTCCTTCCCCATTATCCCCTCCCCACAGTCCTTTGAAACCACAAATCTGCTTTCTGTTTTATAGATTTGCCTCTTCTAGATATTTAAAATGAATGGAATCAT